TCCCCCTCTCCGGGCACCGGTCTGCAGCCATAGGGGTTTAGGCAGCAATTCCCATCACAGGGGTCTCACCCGCCTCTTGGGAATCTGCTCTATCTTCAAAGACCCTCTGAAGAGCCACTTTGACGGATCCCCTGAACCTGCATTTTCTGTAGCTCCCGACCAGGACATAAATAATGGGATTCATGCTGCTGTTGACAGAGGCCAGCAACAGGCAGATCTCAAAGACAAAATTAATGTAGATAAAGTAGTTGAGGAAGATCTGGACACTGAGCGGGATGCCGAAGAGGAGGAAGAAGAAAACAGTGAGGAAGATGACAGTGTACAGCCTCACTTGATGGTGTTGCCAAGAGCTACGCCTAAGTTTGATGAAGAGTATCACGTTGGAAAGAACCATAAAGGGAATGAAAAAGAAGAAGTTGAGAAAGCACAAGGTTCCGAGAACCATCCAGCAGTGGTCAGAGTGCCCCAAATCGCACACATAGTACACCAGCCCCGCAAGCACGCAGGCGAGGGCCCACAGCAGGCTGCACGTGACGGCTGACAGGAGCTTCGGGCGGTGGCATCGGCACCAGAAGGGCCACAGGACACCCAGACACCTCTCCACGCTGATGGCCGTGAGGAGATAAAGGCTGGTGCTGTACGTGAGCAGAACCATGGAGTGAAATAGCGGCAGCACCCGCAAAAGCTCTGCCTGAAAGCAGCTGAGCATGGGCATATGATATATTACAAGGAAAGCCGATGTGCAGAGGAGAAAGCAGGTGTCCGCAACGGCCAGGTTCAGGAGGTAGGCGGTGAAGGGGTTCCTCCCGATGCGGAAGCCGAGGAGCCAGAGGATGGCCCCGTTCCCCACCAGCCCACACAGGCAAATAAGCAGCGTGATGCTACCAGTGACGATTTCAGGGATGTGTTCTGCAAAGCACCTGGTCCCATTGTGTCCATCCCCGTAGACCGTGCTCTCCAGAGGCGCTGGGGGCATCGTACGCCAGTCACGGATCGTGTTGTTGAGATGTCGGTCCATCTTCCTCCTTTCTCTCTCGTGCTAAGCTGGAGAAAGGCAAGAGATGAAGGCAAAATTAGTGACTCTCAGTTCCCAGTACTGTGAATGTCCCCTGGTTGTTCAGTCTTTCCCCCTCCTCTATGAGCTACAACATCGCTCTCCAGAGGCGCTGGGGGCATCGTACGCCAGTCACGGATCGTGTTGTTGAGATGTCGGTCCATCTTCCTCCTTTCTCTCTCGTGCTAAGCTGGAGAAAGGCAAGAGATGAAGGCAAAATTAGTGACTCTCAGTTCCCAGTACTGTGAATGTCCCCTGGTTGTTCAGTCTTTCCCCCTCCTCTATGAGCTACAACATCTGCAACCCAGAGAACATAAGAACTGAGCAGATAAAAAAGAAAAAAGGAAAAAAGGAAACAAGGAAAAAAGGAAAAAGGTAAAAGAAGAAAGAAGAGAAGAGGAGAGGAGAGGAGAGGAGAGGAGAAGAGAAGAGAAGAGAAGAGAAGAGAAGAGAAGAGAAGAGAAGAGAAGAGAAGAGAAGAGAAGAGAAGAGAAGAGAAGAGAAGAGAAGAGAAGAGAAGAGAAGAGAAGAGAAGAGAAGAGAAGAGAAGAGAAGAGAAGAGAAGAGAAGAGAAGAGAAGAGAAGAGAAGAGAAGAGAAGAGAAGAGAAGAGAAGAGAAGAGAAGAGAAGAGAGGGGTAGAGGAAGAAAGAAAAGACATGCAGAACCATTTACCCTTTAAGGACTGAAAGGGGCTGAAGAGGTGGATGGGAAGAATGGAAAGATCAAGGAAGAGCAGAGCTGCGTGCCCCAGCAACAGGAGCAGAGGTGAGCCCCAGACCCCTCTCACCAGGCACGGGGGGTGTCCGGTGAGGGCAGAGTCCTTGCACAGCCTTGGTATCCCAGAGCCGCAAACTCCAGTCTTCTCTGTCAGGCTCACATGTGAAATTTTACAAATCTGCCATGCCAAAACCTTCCCAGACGAGATCTGGCCACCAGGAACAAGGTAACTCCATGATGAGGTTCCTCCCGCAGGCTCTCTGTTTCTTCCTCAGCTGGACACCAAATGGGCCCTGGGACCAGAGTCGTGGGTTTCTGCAAAGGGGTGGGTGGCTGCGGGCACACAGACGTGCCAGGGCTTGGTCATCAGTTCTGAGAGCAGCGGAAGCAGCTTTCCAAAGAGTCACCCTCACAGGACAGGCATTGCAGACTGATCTGCTGGTTGCCTCAAAAGCTTCCTGTTTGCAAACCTACCGTCACGTTGAGCATGAAATTACCGTCTTCCTTCTCATTCGCTTCTTCTCTTCTGTGCCCGGCGGCAACGTCCCTGAGATGTTTTGCGGTTCCCATCTGTGCGAATGCCTCCTCTTTGCTGTCACACAGAAGCCACCAGCTCCCCACCCACCCAGGGAAACGCTCGCTGCCTGCCGGCTGTCACTTCCCCGCTTGCAAGACCTGAGCTGGACGTCTCCATCGCCCCATGCCGCAGGGAGGACGGGAGGGAAGCGGGACGGCGTGACGCACCCGGCCGTGCCCCGGGGACGACGCAGACCGCTGGACCAGCCCTCCTCTGATGCCAGCGGGTGGGCGGCTGCTCCGTGCCCCGTCCTCACGTCTCACCCCTGCTGAGGTTGCAGGATGTGGCGATGAGCCCTCGGAGGGGACCGTTGCTCACGAGTGATGTCTGCGGGGCAGGAGCTTCCTCCGTGTCATCCTTTTTGGGGCCAGGGACATCTGTCCCACTTCCTTGTCTGCTGTACAGCAAATCTAAACAAGCAGCTCGGAAGAAATCATCCGGAGACGTCCAGAGCAAAGGAAAGCAAACACAAACGTCTGGGAGAGCATCCATCCCATCCATCCCAGGGCTGCAGTCCTGCCTGCACCTCCGTCCTAAATCCTGCCTGGCTGCAGGCAGAGGGATGGGGGGGTGCAGCATGCTGGTGGGGTACTCCGCTTCCCCTGCAACTTCGATCAAACGGAAAGAGAAATACTCCTGACGTCAGTTAATGGTCCTGATTTGGGGTGAAACCCGGGCTCCTCCAAATTCCGTAGTAAATTACATTTATTTAAACGATAATGAAACTGGACCGAAGGAGAGCTGCGATGTTTTAACCCGCCCCGACCGGTCCCAGCTCTTCAGCATCTCCGCACTGTCGCGCTTCTTTTTATATTTAAAGGAAGGGTTCAACAGAAAATGAGATTAAAGGCGGGGGGG